TATTTTAATGACTAGATAAGAATAAGCCAATGTATGTGGCAAAGTAGGAAGCTAAGGAACAATAAACTTTGAGTCAGGAAGACTTGTGTATATATCTTACCTTCTACATTTGTCAGCTGTGTGACCTCTTTTGGCTTCAATTTTCTCATTCGTAGAATGAAGGAGAGTGGGTGTCTAAGATCCCATACAGTTCTCAATTTACTACGATCATAAGTAGAAGAAAATTCTACTTATAGAATCCTGACATTGCTTTTATAAAAATGAGTATTTCTAAGAGTGTTGGAAAAGTATGAGATAATTGCACCTTTTGACCCTTTCCTACCCAATTTTGTTTTTTAGAATCACCCCATCATATTCAACTCAACCCCAAATTACCATAGTAATGACTTGACTGTCTACTGCTAAGAAATATCTTAATAATAACATTTTCATATATAAGAGGTAAACGGTTTGACTTTAATGAGTTTCTTATAATTAGTCTTTAATATTTTCCTTATCTTTCTTCTGGATATTTCTTTTGGATCTTATGTATCAGATTTTCCTTTGAGTTCTGGTCTTCCCCCCTCCCCCCCCACAAATACCAGAAAGTCTTTCAGTTTGTATATGTCCATTTTTTTTTCATTCAGGATTATACTCAACTTTGCTAGGTAAGTTATTTTTGGTTGCAAGCCCAATTCTTTTGCTCTTTTAAGTGTGCAAGGATTTTTCTGTAATTGAAGCTATCCATTTGTTCAGCAAAAACAAAATAAAGCAAATGAATCAACAACTCAAACTATCTTGTTTATAGAATTTAACTTTGTGTTACCAGAATCATCATAAAGTATGCGTTAGTGAGCTTTGAATTAATAGTAACAGCTGTTATTTACATAACCTCTTTAAGGTTTGTGACATGGTTTATTTGTTATCCATTGAGCCTCATAACAACTCTATTGCTACAAGTAGTTTTATCCTTATTTAAAGATGAGGAAACAGGCTCAGGGAGGTTAAGCAACTTGTTCATAGTCACCAAGTTAGTAAGTGCCAGAAGTGAGATTAAAATGCCGGTGTTCCCAACTTCAGATCCAGCAATCTCTATCATATTACATTGTCATTATATTGTTCATTTTATTTTGTGAACCTTACTTCTCAGTTTGATTTCAGCATGCTGCTTTTCAGATGCCCCTATTCTAGCTATACAGGATATCCCAAACTGAGTGCAGTTTGAAGCTTTAATAGTTTAAATAGCTTTGATAGCTACTTAAGAACTTCAAACTTCACTAAGACTTTTGAAATACCTTGTTGTCAGTTTTTGTCTTGATATGATCTTTGAGAGGTAGCTCAAGAGGCAGAGTACTGGATAGCATCTAGAATATATGGGTTCAAATCCCACTTTTGATGATACATAAATGTCTCAGGGTGACTGGGCAAATTGCTTAAACTCTCGGTGCCCCCGGGTACTTTATAAATTGCTGATCAGTTGTTAATTTACATTTGTAGAGGGAGTTTCCTTAAGTTGTTGAAATCAAAAGTCTGAACTAAAAATAATGAGGTTTTAAGGTATGTTGAGCTTTTAGATGTGAATATGCTCTACTAACCCAATAACATACATATAAGTAGATGTCTGTATATATTATGTATATAAATATAAAAATGATGGACAGACTAATTTTTCCAGCTAAAATGTAGTTTGTTTAATCAGGCAGGAAAAATATGAGAGTTTTGCAGTGTCATGTTTTTATCACAAAGTTGGCATGTGATAATAAACTAAGACATTTCAATTCAATTACATCACCTTAACTCACTTCTGAGTTTGAGGAAAAAAATGGACCAACAAAGGGTTGTTTGGGTCAGATTATAGCTAACTATAGATTTGAGTATACTCTCCTTGAGATGATTGAATTTCTTGTACTGTAATCAAGGAAGATTATATTTTTATGCAAATGACCTTAGACAAATCATAGAAAGCTTTTTTAATGACTTTTTTGTGGACTTTTCTTATGACTGGAGAATTTTTGGTATGATATTTCTTTTTTTTTTTTAAGTGGCATTTTGAAACCTTGAGAAATGTGTTTAAGGAAAAGTTGGAGTTATTGGGGGAGGGAAGATGGACACTTTATTTGATTTCAGAAGTTTAATTTTTATTTCTTACCATAGTGGTAAAATAGTGTGCTGCTACTTAGAGAAAGTTAACATCTTCTGGGTTTCTGCAGATTGTCAAATGGTTCAAACCATGCCTGTCTTAAGTATTTGCATGATGTGAAACAGTGGCTCTTAGGAGGTTTTTCTTCTGACCACTGACATTTTCAAATAAGTAAATTGACCCCAACAGATAATGGTCTCTGAACATTCTTACAAATGCCTTATCTGAGTCTCTGTAAGTAGTCAAAACAGTCTGCCCTGTTGCTTTAAACAGTTGTTCTGATTTAGGCTTGCTTCTTCCCTACACCAGCCCTAGTGTAACCACTTTCTTCAATGGGTTCCTTTAGAGCTTAGGTAAATCAGATTTGGATAAGGTTCCAAACATGGAGGTAAAATTTCTGGATTTCAGTTTCTTCATCTGTAAAAAGAATAGGTGTGCTTAGATGGCTTGTAAGCCCCGCTTCCAGCTGTAAATCCTATTATCTTCTGACCAGAGCAACTCTTAAGAAAAGCTTTTCCACCAAAAAGGATTGATCTTTAACTAGGTATTTAACTTATTGCCTTTAAAGGTCAACAAGGAGTAGCCATCTTTGGGGGGAGATGATGAAGAGGTCACTGAGTATTAGCAGGCATTATTAAGATGATACACAGGCTCCCATTTTGTCAGATCAAAGGAAATCCTTTTTAGGAAGTGGTAACTAGAGCCTTTTGAAACTAACTGGGCAGTAAAATGAGGGGTAAGGAAGAACTGAAGTTTGGAGTGAAATTCTGAACTACTTTACCTAGAGAGCCAATACTCCATGCCTTTTTTAAAAATTAGAGTTATGGATATGTTTAGTATGGTTCACAACAATTCAAGATTTACCTAGGATTGTTGAGTTAGGCTTCTGGGTACTTGATTATTCAGACAGTAATCTATTTCATTTTGTTGTTATAACCCTTGGATGTGAGAGATACTATGCCTTGATCTGTTTTATAAAGCTTGAATTGAGGGATGTGAAGAACCGAGAGAAGTCTCAAGGGAGGACAGATGAGGATTAAGCAGTAAGATAGTGGCAATAACATGAAAGAAATGGATTTTTCCTGAAAAGAAGAAAGGTGAAGTTAACTTTAATTATTGTCTCAAGTATATAAGGCTTTCTACTTTTTAACACACTTGATCGCTTCATCATTCTTGAAACTTTACTTCTTTGATACTAAATTATTATTTTTCTTTTCTTAACTCTTGGAACTAATTGTTCTTTTCCCCCAAGTCCTAAATATAAGGTTCACAGTTTGACTCCTTGAATTTCTTTATATTGTTTTCCTTTGAGATCTCATCTGTTTGCATGGCTTCAGCTATTTTCTATGGGCATATGCTTAATTTTATAGCTTTAGCCTGGTCTTTTCCCTAAGCTCTGGTTTTGTATGTCCATCTGACATTACTTCTTAATCATAAGCAAAACAGAACTCAGCTTTCTTTCTCGTTTCCCTTCCCCCAGACCAATGACTTTCTTTGGTCTCCCTTTCCTGCTTTCCATATTTTCTCAGTCATATCAGTTGTTCTGGTTTAAGACCTTGTAATAGTTTCTTGTTTGTGTCTTTTTACTCCTCTTCCTCCTCATTTATTCCTACATAGAGCCATAGAATGTCACCTGGAAGATTTTCTTATATTCTAGATGAGGAAAATGAAGTTTATAGAAGTAAAGGGATTCACCAAAGGTCACAAGTTAGTTAATATCAGAGGTGATACTGGGGCACAAATCTTCTGATTCCTAGGCCACGGCTTTTTCCACCTCAGAATGTCCCTTGGTTGGTTTCTTAGTTAAATGGAACACTGTGACACCAAGCTTTGAAAAGTACGTGCATCTTTGTTGGAGAAGCACTGTGGGAGATTGGAGAGTATTACCAGATTTGGAGTGTGGATCTCATCTTTGACACTTACCTAACTGTGTAAATACAAGCAAATGACTTAACCTGTCTGTTTCCTTATCTGTAAAACAGTAGTAATACATCTGGTGCTCACACTGAATTTCTTTGGGCATCCAGGAGAAAGACCTTTAGCTATTTATCTATCCCTTTCCAATATCCAGTTTACTTCCCACCTTTTTATGAAGCATTTCTTCACCGCTCCAGCTCACTGATTTCTTTCTTTACTTTCTTCACTTCTTTACTACCCCTAAAAACTTATTGTTTGGCCTATTTATCTTGACCCAGTCTTACACTGGTTTGCATTTTTCATTTGTATGTCATTTCTTCAAAACTAGATTGTAAGCTTGTTGAGTGCAAAAATTTATTTTGTATTGTGTAAACCTCATAGCACCTCGTTTGGGTAATGGGAAAACAGTAGGTATTTAACAAATGCTTGTTGGATGAATAAATGAATGGGGGGGATACCCTGGAGTGTTTGGAAGATCCGTTGTGGATAATTGAGCTGAAAATGAAGTTTTTTTAAAAAAAGGATGGTTATTAATCTCTAGCGTATAGTACTAAGCAAAGTTGAGGAATAATTGGATCTCAAAGGCCCCTTCTACCTCTAAATCCCCCCCCTTTTTTTTGGTAAGGCAGTTGGGGTTAAGTGACTTGCCTAGGGTCACACAGGTAATAAGTGTTATGTGTCTGAGGCTGGATTTGAGCTCAGGTCCTCCTGAATCTAGGGCCAGTGCTCTATCCACTGCATCACCTAACTGCCCCTCTACCTCTAAATCCTATGCTCCCTAGGTGTCTTACCATGTTGGTTTATCTTATGGGTAGTTAGTCCCTAGAAACTACGGGACTAACAGTGAATTACCTTTTCTTAAGGTGCAGCACTCCTTGCAAAAAATTATAAGTGGTGACAAATACTGTGAAATGGTTTAAAAAAATGTACTCTTCTAATTCAGTTTCTTTTCTTTCTTCTTTAGATATTATATAGATTACTTTAAACATGGGTGAAATAGAGCAGAAGCCAACTCCAGGATCACGGTTAGGAGCTCCTGAGAATGCTGGGATCAGTACATTGGAACATGGACAGAAAATGCCCACAGCACCACCAGGAAAACTTATTTCCATTAAAATCCAGATGCTGGATGATACCCAGGAAGCATTTGAAGTTCCAGTAAGTTGTTGACAAATATGTAGACTCCAAAACATATCTTTTTGTGTGGTAGTGGTGGTGATGGTGGGAATTGAATACTAGATTGATATGAGGGATGTGATCTGGAATGGGTAGGTAAGAGTTCTGCATTCTGTATATGAGTGCAGTAACAGAGCTACTTACCCATGTGTCCTGACCCCTTTCTGTAACGTTCTATGCAAGTCTGAAATGGTATACTGCTAGAGGGCAGAGAGTAGGTATTTGCTTTTTTCTTTGTTCAGGACATAATAAAGTGCTATGCACACTTTGAATAGATCATGGTTTTGATAAATTTGGCTATTTACACATTGGTAAATAGACTATTTCATGAACTAGAGAAGACTTGTAAAAGACTACAAAAGATTGGGAAGGAAAGGGGTAGAGAATGAAAGTATTTTAAGACACTGAGGAAAAAATGCTTTGTATAGAATATAGGAAAGAAAGCTTTGTGGATAGATTCTGGGTTTCTTTATCAATTCTTGTTATTTCTGTTGACTGAGAGTAATCCATTGCTTAGAATATTGCTGTAATTTGAGTGATCATATTTGTACCAAAAAAATTATAAAAAAGGCATAGATTAGCATCAAGTGTTATTTGGGAAGATAACTCTAAGAAGAGCTTTGTATAAAACTGCCTTTTAAATATGGAGTATAGAAAATCTTGGTAACCTCATTTTCTGTTGTGGAATTAAAATCTGAATAAAGCTTTGTTAATCTTTTCAAACTTTAGAATACATTGTGGGAAATTACCTGTTGAAATTAGACATTTGAGAGCTTTACTGTGTTTTCTGTAGTTTTTTTTAAAGGTAGATTGGGAGGGTTTGCTATCAGTCTCCAAATAGATTTATTAGTGAGATATTTACTTTAAGCATTTCCTACTTACGAAAATATCTTGGGCTCAGTGACTTTTATGAATTGCTAAACTAAATTCTATACCAGTAAATCATGTTAAATGATGTTTCCTGAATGCAGTTTAGAGTATCTATCAGATGCTATTATGTGTGACAAGTACAGTAGACATTAGAATGTATTCTCCTGCAGCCCTGAACAAAAGAAGGTAGAGTTGCTTGCCAGGCAAAGAAATTGTGAGCATAGAAGATAGGTATTTCCAGGGAATTTGCAATAGTATTGGATGTTTAAAATGCAATAAAATTGAGCTTTTAAAGTGATTTCTTCATTGGCAGTTTCCTTGTACCTGCAAATAGCTAGTTTAGTTACTGAGTAAGGGACACAGAAGAGTGATGGGGATGTGTGTATTTTATTTTATTTTTTACATGCATAATGAGACTCTTTTTGTCTATAGGAAGCAAATTTTATACTTTGTTATTGTTGTTAAGTTGTGTCTGACTCTTTGAGACCCCATTTGAGGTTTTCCAGGCAAAGATATTGAAGTGGTTTGCCATTTCCTTCGTTAGCTCATTTTATAGATGAGGAAACTGAGGCAAACAGGGTTAAGTGACTTGCCCAGGGTCACACAGCTAGGAAGTGTCTGAAGCCAGATTTGAACTCACAAAGATGAATCTTCCTGATTCCAGGCCTAGCACTTTATCCACTGAACCACCTAGCTGCCGCATTTTGTACCTTAAGAATGTCTTATTGATGTTTTTTGTTGTCATAGCACAATCACTTCCTAAAAACATTGTTCCCTATCTCTAATTAAAAAAAAAAGGTACCTGCATACCTCACAGCATTTAGAAATGTGCTTTGTAAAGCTTTTATGTTTGTTAAGAAGATAATGTTATATTAATGAAATGCTTAATGAGGTATTTTGGTTTTTCGTGTGTGTGTGTGTGTGTGTGTGTGTGTGTGTGTGTGTGTGTGTGTGTGTGTGTACACGTATAGCCAGACAGAAATGGAACTATTTTCCCCTCACAAGTAGTAATTTTTCTTTTTTCTTTTTTGGAGCTTGTACCAACTTGTAGCGACCCTTTATTAAGGTACTGTGATTTGTATCAGTGGAGGAAATAATAACAGGAATGAAATCATGTATCAGTTAAAGCATTATGATCTTATCATGGAGGAAAGATTGTATATGTGTTGCCTTAGAAAACAAGCACACTGACTTGATAGTGTATGAAAAAATACAAGGACCTCACACAGGGTTTGAGGAATAAGAATGGAAAACAAATGATGTACTGGTCTGTTTAGCTTCCTCCCTTTTGGACATGCACATTGTTTCTAGTTTTTCCTCTCATAAAAACCCAAGATTTTCATTTTACAAAATCCCTATCTTTTCCTGCTAATGTGCTCATATTTCTCATACTTTATACTTTTTATTTCTAGATTAACCCCTTCATGTCTGAGATTATATCTCCCATTTCCATTGCTTTCTGTTACACTTAGTAGTAAATATAATTTTAGAGGTAGAAAGAACTTAGAGATTGTCTAAAGCTTTCACTTTATAAATGAAGGCACAGGTCCAGAGTGATAATTTGTTTGTCATAGGAATAGGATTGGGACCTAGGTTTTCTGCCACAGTTCAGTATTCCTTTAACACACTATTCTTTCCATCTCTTTGTAATGTGGTGCTTACAGTAGTTGTTTGATAAATGTTTGTTGAGTGGATGAATTTCTGTCTATAAACATTTAGGGCTTGTTTTGCTTGGGTGTGCATATTCTAAATTTTTGATGTTGGAGGGAAAAAGGGAAGTATATCATAAATTTTTTTTCTTATTTACAATTCCAACTAGATGACATTTCTGCAAATAAGTTTTTAAGTAAGACCACTGCAAGAGGCTTAGTGCATAGTGGATAGAGCTGGCCCCCATGCCAAAAAGAACTGAGTTAAAGCTTGCCCCTGACATTCCCAGCTGAGTGATCCTGGCTGAGCTCCTTAAACTCTCAATAATCCAGAACAGTGGTGTCCAACTGAAATGGAAATTGGGGGGGGACACCACTAAACCGTACATAAGGATTCCTGTGGGCTGAACGTTCACCTAGAAAACAACATAATAACATTGTGTTCTATTGTATTTTGTTTATTTTGTTAAATAGTTTGCAGTTAATTTTAATCTGGTTCAAGTCTGCACTCCAGAGGTTAGGGTCCATGGGAAGTGTGTTTGACACCTCTGCTCTGTGGCAGCTCCCTAGGATTGTAAGTTTCAGAGAAGGCAACAACCTGCATTAAGAAAGCAGATTCTTTACCAGGGAGCTTTTGTTGTTGTCAGTCTTCTCAGACTCTGGAGTGGTTTGCCATTTTCTTCTCCAACCCATTTTATAGATGAGGAAACCGAGGTAAACAGGGTTAAGTGATTTGCCCAGGGACACATAGCTAGTAAGTGTCTTGAAGCTGGATTTGAACTCAGGTCTTCCTGACTCTAGGCCCAGTACTCTATTTGCTTTGCCATTTAGCTGTCCCAAGTGCACCAGGGAACACTACCAGAGGTTCCCACACTTATTTGGCCTACCACCTCCTTTAAAAAAAATTACTCAGTGCCCCCTGGAAATCTACTATCTTTAACCCTTTAATGGTTTTTTAAAATTAAATTTGCATCATTATTTTTAAAAAAGCTAAATATTTTTTAAAATGATGCATCTTAAATTTAATAATTTATTGTAAATTGGTGGTTTTTTTCCTTCATTAAAATTTCAGTGACACAATATTGTATCATGTAACTGTACAATATCATATTATAAACAAGTCATTACATGAAGATATTCCTGCCCATGTGTGCTGCGCTTCCCAACAATACACTACATGCTCACTGTCCTGCCAATACTTGCTTGTTAAGACCTGTCAGTGGACTTGACCATTGATAGATTATAACTTGCATTTTGTGTATTTATTTGGAAAGTAATGTAATCACTACGACTTTAATTTAACTCTGTTCCCCAACACATAAGACATGTGTAAATGTTTTTTTTTTCAAAATTTTCTTCTCATCTCTTTTTCCTTGTTTCCACTGCCCCTTTATTTTTATTCAGTACTCTCCAATTGCACCTGAGGCTACTACTCTCCCCCCCTCCATGGTTCCAGCACCCCCCCCCTCAACTTTGGGAACCTTTGCTTTAAACTGATGAAATTTCAGGTCCGGTCTCTATCTCTGTTCACTCTAAGTACATACTATACATTATGGATTGTAATCATCTTAATTGTGACCGTGGGATTGCAGGTTTTGGATAGAGCAAATAAGATTAAAGTAATAGGCTTTGTATTATAGGGGAATTTAAAAAAGTCGTAGATTTACTGTAAGATAGAACCTTAAAGATCATTTACTCCATTGCTCTCATTTCACATTCAGGGCTCAGAGAAATTAAGTGACTTGCTCAAGGTCATGTAGATAATATGTGGCAGAGACAAGATTCAAACACAGGTCTTCTAATTCCAAATCTAGTCTTCTTTCTACTGTATCATGCTAAATTATAAGATTATTTTTTTCTGCACATCATACTTTTATTCATAGAATTTCTGCCTCTTTCTTCTTATGTCCCTTCTCTCCCTTTTAGAAAATAATTTGTTAGAATTTTCTTCCTTTGCAAAAGGGAAAAAAAAGAATAGGAAGAAAAGAAAAGAAAGTCATCATTGTATCTGTAGAATAGAGGCATTGCCCTTTTAAGAAATGGAGTGGTTAGGCCATAAAACAGCTGGAAAACATCGTCTGACCACTGATTGTCTGTGCTAGTACTCACTGAATTGGAGGGCTATAAAACAGTAGACAATTATGCAGCTTTGCAAAAAAAACCCCAACAAAACAAACCCACTAAGTCTCTAAATATTTAAAATCTTTGTTTCTAAAGTTTACTATTAACCCATTGGGTTAATAATAACTTTACAATTATTGTGTTAATTTAGGTCTTATACTTATGTTTTCCTTTTTGAGGCACAAGTCTTTAGTGAATGAATTCTTATGGTTTATCTTTCCGTCCAAGATGATGAACTGGGGCATATTGCCAAGATTATTTGCAATTTTCCTTTGGGAAAGTTTTGTGGACTGTATCTTCTTCCCCTGGGGACTGGGTTTCCTGGACCTTTCCTGATTGTTT